TAAGATAATGTAAAATATTTTCGTAATTAAAGGAAAGAGTAAATGGGCAAGGCAGGCAGTACTTGTAATTTACTCATTTGGGATTTAGTACAAGTGTAGCCATCTATGTGTAAAAATAATCAAACAAGTAAACTCGCAGTGGGCATGGCATGTACGTAGATACCATGCCCGTTGGGAAAGGATTAATAATAATGCTTAGCTGTTTAATTGGCCTGTGTCATTTAGGATACTGAGAAATTATGTAATAGTTATGATATGAATAATTTTTACACAACTTCCCATACTAATAATAATGCTTTCTTTCTCTTTAGACACTACCTTGTTGTGATTGCTGTGGCTCGGACCCCAGAAGACCATTTAGAGTGGTATGGACTTGTTGAGTCAAAAATCCGACACTTAATTTCCAGTCTAGAACATAACCCAGCAATAAAGACTGTACACATAAACCCTGTGACTTTTAACTGTCAGGACCCAGAATATAAGGATAAACCACATTCATCATGGTTCCTTGGGGTGGACTTCAATAAAAGTGAAAATGTAAATATAGATCTCACCAACGACATCAATAAATTTGTAGAAGTTGGTAAGTAGACTTTTTCATAATGTACCTGTCGTAGCATTGAGAATGAAGGTGCAGGGGTACAAACCTGTTTCCTCACAACTGAGTAGATGCTTGCCAGAGAGAGCCACATATATTCAATACCAAACAGTGGCTAATCTGTTGGGCATGGGTTTGCCATCTCTTTCTGTTTCCTTTGGGGTTATGGTTCTGAGTTCATTTTTTTCAAAGGTATGTGACTGTGAGTGGATGCCTGGCAATGGGCATATTTTCTGTTGACGATTTGTGTGTATTTCTTTTAGAGATGCCTGAGTAGCCCATTTTCCTTTTCTAAAACCTTTTTCTTAACTCAAAATATATTTGTTTTTATTTGTTTATTCACCTAGTTGTAACCGAGTTTCTCATGGATGTCACAAAGAGGAAAAAAATCTGACCGTAGTATTTTGTAAGAAGCCTGTGCTAGAAAGGTCTTTTACTTTCTGTGGTTTGGCTTTCTATGTAATAATAAGAAATTCATGAATTTGTATTTATGAATAATCAAATTTTGTTATTTATTTGATATATCAGGAATTGCATACATCCTTTACTGATACTAATAACCATGAAGACTAAGGAATGTCTGTAATATTTTAGTAGTATTGAAAATTGTACCTTACATGGTCAGTGACATAATGAGTATAATATTTGATAAAAAAGAACAAAAGAAAAAAAATATACACACAAACATGTATCTAGATATGTACATATGTATATGTACGTATATATATATATATATATATATATATATATATATATATATATATATATATATATATATATATATATATATATAAATATATATAAATATATATATATATATATATTTTATATATCTATATTATATATTATATATATGTTATATATATATATATATATATATATATATATATATATATATATATATATATATATATATGTATATATATATATATATATATATATATATATATATATATATATATATATATATATATTATATATTATATATTATATATTATATATTATATATATTATATATATTATATATTATATATTATATGTATTATATATTATATATTATATATATTATATATTATATTGTATATATTATATATTATATTATATATTATATTATATTATGTTATATTATATATTATATTATATTATATATGTTATATTATATATTATATTGTATATGTTATATTATATATATTATATATTATATTATATAAATTATATAAATTATATAAATATGTATGTATATATATATGTATATTATACATATATATATATATATATATATATATATATATATATATATATATATATATATATATATATATACTTATATATATATATATATATATATATATATATATATATATATATATATATATATATATATATATATAAATATATATATAAATATTATATATTATACATATATATTATACATATATATATTATACATATATATATTATACATATACATATTATACATATATATAATATACATATATATAATATACATATATATTATACATATATATATTATACATATATATAATATACATATATATAATATACATATATATAATATACATATATATAATATACATATATATAATATACATACATATAATATACATACATATAATATACATACATATAATATACATACATATAATATACATACATATAATATACATACATATAATA